TAACTAGAATAGCGCTGATGATAACTCAATACATTTTGTATTTATGCTCTCAGTGCAGGTAGGCAGAGGTGGTGTAGTGACAAGTGGCGCGCTTACCACTCCCGCCCAGGCCAGCCGAGCCTTCTACCCTGAATTGGTACCAGATTCGTCTGGGAGGATAAAACACTGACTTGTACATCGGCTGGCCCCGCAAGTCATTGTATAGGCCACATCGCATTCAATAAGCCACTACGATTCTGAATGGAAGTAGAATGCGTGCCGCATCCCACAAAGGGATTGATCAACGGCGAAGACTTTATCCTTTTATCCTTTTACTCTCAGGGATTGTCGTTACCTAGTGAAACGATTTAAATTCCTTCCTCACTGCTAAATTACCCCCATACCGACAATACTTTGAACGGACCTCGTAGAAAGGAAATTAGCACAAGTGCTAAATGCCCCTTTCAAGCTAAACAGCACTTAACTGGACATTACTTGTATCTAGCTGTTCTAATACTCTAAGAATCTGCTGAGCTACGTGCGCGGCTCCCAGTACTCACGACGATCAAGGGTCATGAGCTTTAGGGATACTGGCCTAGAGACTAAACTTCTGATATCTTTCGTTATCACAGCAAGTCTTCCGGGTCCAGTGAGTGGTTCAACCTCAGCAGTTGCTTCAGCTGATGCACCGTTTTCTGAGGGAAGTCGATTATGACGGATGGCTCCACCTTTCCGCGATGGGAGAGGAAGGGTGTGCTCATAAAATAACATGTATTAATGGGGAATATTTCACTAGTGAACTTCTACGTGTAGTCATGATCCCTGCAAATCAGAGGGAGTGTAACGCGGCGCTGATGCCGTCCTGAGCCTTTTACAATTGGTGGGAAATCTGCCGTAGGTGTGCTCCATGCTATGCTCCCGTCCTGCGTCTTATCAATTCCAGGGATTAGCTTGCCACTGCGTAACCTAACGGCAGCACGTCTTGTTTAGTCCCTGGGTGTATACGGGGATGTTGAAGTTTTTTTGGAGGTAGAAGCTACTTCACTATTTTTTATCGATTGGACCACTGGATTCTTCCTAGATCAAAGCTCTATTTCGGTTCAGTCAGGGGCGCCACAGACGTGCAAGCGCAGGAGCATTAATTTGGCAAACTCATCCCAAGGAGCTGAAATATGTGTGGCGGGGAAGGTGCCAAAGGTAGGGCAGGAGCGGAACAGAACGATTTTCAGAGTCAATGTGGTCAGCATTGGTACCTGAACACCCGCTGTTGATCAGAAGTGAGTCAGCCCGAGAGGGATAGCAAGACTGAAGAGAAAGATATTTAAAGCACTTCATGGGAACGCCATAGGTGAAGAGCACAT